GAGCAAACGCAGAGAAAATTGGGTTCTATTTTTTATCCCTTGTCATCAGATTCAGACTATTTTATTTACTCTGATGAGGAAACCGTAATCCTTACACTATCTTTCCAGGTTGTCCGTGTCTCTTTACATCTTCCTTTGTGTTCCTATTCCGATGATATTCTTTAATGAAACGTTGATGTGTGGTTCCCAAACCAGTCTCTACAACATCAGATATGTGATCCTCATTCACCAGATATTGGAATCCAAGCTGTGATATAAATGCTGATAGACTTGAACCACATCACATGCCAGAACGTGGAAATACGCAATTGCAAAACGCCTGTATATATTTCTAAATATTCGAGGCCTCGTGCTATACACAAGTTATGAAACGTTCCTTTACTCTCATTGAAATGTGAATTTGTTGCTTCTGAATACATCCAACCTGTATTCAGAGCGATAACGCACTTAATCCTTTAAAGCCCGGTGGTAACTATTTGTCCCAACTGCTTTAACAATCAATAACACTTGTAGTTTGTTAGTCGAATTTGTAGATTTTTATGTGATTGTCAGTGTAAATAATTATTATGTACTTAAAATAGCGTCTACCATTTGATTTTTGTGTTTTCTTCGCGGTAAGGGCTAAATTCTTAAATATGATTTATGTGGGCTTCGTTCAAAGGTTAATCAGTTTAATTACTTTTTAACGTGTATTTCACATGGCTGTACTAAACTACGAAATTACTGCCGAGATTCATAAATTAGATTAGAATTATATTTTATAGACTAATAACAGTGAAGATTAGCAAATCAATTTCAGATTTGAAATTCTAAAGGAACTGAATATGGTCTTCTGTATCGTGATGTACAGTAATAAAAGTGGTTACTAAGGTTCCTCCGAAACTTTTGTAACCACTTGTAAGACTACACGATTTACAACCCAGAAGACAGCCATTTTAATGTCTAAGTTGTTTTCCTCGTCTGTGACTCAACGAGGATTTCTAGATAAACACCAGCGTTTCAGAGGAACCTAATACCTCCATCTTCATAGCCCGAGATATACTTTATTTGGTCCAATAAAGCCGAAAGGCAGAATTTCTGCCACATTGTCAAAATTAAGAAATGTTTTTTATTTCCTGTCCGAAACACGTTTTTAAGAAATGAAAACACACCTGAAGTTTCCTGGCTTCGCTAACACACTCACTAACCAACTTCAATCAATGATTTTATTTAATAGTCCATTATGATTACATGTCAATGTGTACTGTTTATGCAAACACTGGTCTACGTTTTGAGAACATGGCGATATATGAGTTCACAATTAATTATCTGGGGGACGGACAAAGGCCCGTTAGATACTCAGTTCCATAGAGACATAGCCTCACCCCCATCGTAACAATAAACAAATTAATTACCGATAAATTAATAACAAACAAATGATGATGATATAGTAAAGAGAAAACGATGTAGGTGGACGACAAATGGTGAATAAA